GATCAAAATAGACTGTTTTTCATGTTCATCTTCACAATTTCTGTTTTTACCTGTTTTCCCTTAGTTAAATTACTGTGTTCGTCTTTCATTGAGTTTTGTGAACTTAAAACTAATCAGCTGATAATGATGATGATTTCTTTACATTTGCTTTTTGCTCATAATCTTTATTTTCTGGTTGTTCTATTAAAGTTGATGTACTTCAATGCGATGTACCTCGAGATCGAATCTGACCCTAACCTAACCTGACCTAACCTAGCTCCACCAAGAGTTTCATTGATTCTTCTTCGTCTTTATTAACGTCATCTTTTCTCAGATCAACGAATAAAATGATGGAAACATTGGTTGAACTATCGGGGTGAGACAAATTTGTCCGTTTAGGTGATGATGCATTATCCATAACAATTTTATTAATGAAAGAAAATAAATTGCCGAATTGTGCATTCATAGGCTAAAAATAAAAATGCAAGTTGTTGAGTTGTTTAAAAGAAAGATGTAAAAAGCTGAATGTCCAAAAATTTAAATTTATTATAAACTTGGCTTTTGAAATGTTGACCTCAATGACCTTGAAACTTTCTGTGTTCTATAACATGAAGACCTTAAAATTACCTTTGAACGCTACCTTCGGATAATGACCTCAATGACCTTGAAAATCGTAGGGATGAGCGCTTCAATACTGTCAAGTCATTTTGTCAAGTCTGATATTCATATGACTTTTAGTTGTGAAGATATTCAGTTTAATAGCCGAAGTAGATAAAAACGCCCTGTATGTATAATAGATTATATCAGGAGAGAAGCTGGCCTTTTGGCAAGTTTAGCTTCTTTCAACTTCTTCAAAAATTCAGAATTAGGAATTGGTGGGTTAGAATTTTGAGAAGATGACTCAGTTAGGTTAGGTTAGGGTCGAATTCGCTCTCGAGGTACATCGCATTGAAGTGGATCAACTTTCGGTCCTTTTAGGTGATGATGAATTATCCATAACAATTTCATTAATGAAAGAAAATAAACTGCCGAATTGTGCATTCATAGGCTAAAAATAAAAATGCAAGTTGTTGAGTTGTACGACTTATGTGGCAATGAACAGTTATGTTTGCGAATAAAAAATTGATTGAAGGATCTCAACTTTAAAAGAAAGATGTAATAAAGATGAATGTTTGTGAAAAAAATTCAATATTTCTCATCTTTTCTATTCTTTCAATAACGAATCTTTATTACTCTTTTAATCAATCAGACAGAGGTTCATTTTGAAGTGCAAATCTTCCTTCACTAGTTCTTGTTTATGCATTTTAACAAGGAAAGTAACAACTCTCAAACTAAGATCAACCGGATATCTTAAAAATCATTACTTACTCATCATCAAATATCGATTAGAGAAAAATAATTGAAATATCAATCAAAATATGATCAAAATGATCAAAATAGACTGTTTTTCATGTTCATCTTCACAATTTCTGTTTAAATTACCTGTTTTTCCCTTAGGTTAAATTACTGTGTTCGTCTTTCATTGAGTTTTGTGAACTTAAAAACTAATCAGCTGATAATGATGATGATTTCTCTTTTACATTTGTGCTTTTTGCTCATAATCTTTATTTTTCTGGTTGTTCTATTAAAGTTGATGTACTTCAATGCGATGTACCTCGAGATCGAATCTGACCCTAACCTAACCTGACCTAACCTAGCTCCACCAAGAGTTTCATTGATTCTTCTTCGTCTTTATTAACGTCATCTTTTCTCAGATCAACGGATAAAATGATGGAAACATTGGTTGAACTATCGGGGTGAGACAAATTTGTCCGTTTAGGTGATGATGCATTATCCATAACAATTTTATTAATGAAAGAAAATCCAAGCTAAACTTGCCAAAAGGCCAGCTTCTCTCCTGATATAATCTATTATACATACAGGGCGTTTTTATCTACTTCGGCTATTAAACTGAATATCTTCACAACTAAAAGTCATATGAATATCAGACTTGACAAAATGACTTGACAGTATTGAAGCGCTCATCCCTACGATTTTCAAGGTCATTGAGGTCATTATCCGAAGGTAGCGTTCAAAGGTAATTTTAAGGTCTTCATGTTATAGAACACAGAAAGTTTCAAGGTCATTGAGGTCAACATTTCAAAAGCCAAGTTTATAACAAATTTAAATTTTTCCCAGACATTCAGCTTTTTACATCTTTCTTTTAAACAACTCAACAACTTGCATTTTTATTTTTAGCCTATGAATGCACAATTCGGCAATTTATTTTCTTTCATTAATAAAATTGTTATGGATAATTCATCATCACCTAAACGGACAAATTTGTCTCACCCCGATAGTTCAACCAATGTTTCCATCATTTTATCCGTTGATCTGAGAAAAGATGACGTTAATAAAGACGAAGAAGAATCAATGAAACTCTTGGTGGAGCTAGGTTAGGTCAGGTTAGGTTAGGGTCAGATTCGATCTCGAGGTACATCGCATTGAAGTACATCAACTTTAATAGAACAACCAGAAAAATAAAGATTATGAGCAAAAAGCACAAATGTAAAAGAGAAATCATCATCATTATCAGCTGATTAGTTTTTAAGTTCACAAAACTCAATGAAAGACGAACACAGTAATTTAACCTAAGGGAAAAACAGGTAATTTAAACAGAAATTGTGAAGATGAACATGAAAAACAGTCTATTTTGATCATTTTGATCATATTTTGATTGATATTTCAATTATTTTTCTCTAATCGATATTTGATGATGAGTAAGTAATGATTTTTAAGATATCCGGTTGATCTTAGTTTGAGAGTTGTTACTTTCCTTGTTAAAATGCATAAACAAGAACTAGTGATATTCTATTATACATCTAGGGCGTTACTAGTAGTGAAAGAACAAAACGCGTGCTAATGCCCGCCGCTTCATCATAACTAATTGTCATCGACTGTTCACTGGGTGAGGGCTAACATCGTGGATCAAACACTTTTTTGTTTGATCAATAGTTTTACAGGAATGAGAGAGTGGCTTTTGATTTTCATGGGCTAATATATCCAAAACTACAATACTTGGAGATGTCTAAATAAGTAAAATCATCGTCATTTAACCAAGGCTGTTGTTGCCTTAATCCTCAGGTAAGTCAGGTAAATTTACATTGAAAATAATATTTCAATGTAAATTCATTACTAAATTGATAAGATAACTCTTCTACATACAGATACTTCTGTATGCGTATCTCCGTTTAAAAGTGTAGTCTATCTTAATTTTCATGGCTGTATACTTCGATCATTTTTGATTCTGTTTAAATTAGTAACCATGCAATAATCATGAGAAGGAATAAAATTAGCACTTGTATAAACGTCAGTGATTGTAAATTATTATTATTACAAGTAGAAAAGTATAAGTGTAAATTCTTATGATAAATCGACCATTAAATAAAATGATAAAACAACAAATGAAAATGGTCAAAACAGAGAGAAATGGTCACTTTGTTAACACGATAATAATATTGTTCGACTTTATTTTCTCAAGTAGCTTTGTCAATTGAATGATGATTATAATATTATAATAAATAATAACAAATCTTTCGATGAAGGAAAAGTGAATAAAGAATAAAATTTATTATTATTCCAGGCTAAACAATGGTCAATATTATAAATATCAATGTTTACATGATAATGACCATAACATAATCATATAATTGTTTCAATTTTTCTCATGAAAACAATAGAACCAAATGAATTTGAAAAACAATGATGATAAACTTTTCTCTGGTGATAATACATTTATTTCATTTTATAACTGACCAGTTCTAAGTTGAGACTAATTAGAGCAAAATATGATTCCATTAGTTGTAAAAATGTTTCCCTGAATGACCATCGGCAGGGATAACCTAATCTGGTTCAGCTCGAATCTTGTATCACGAGAAAAAAAGTTTCCAAGGAAAAGAAAAAAAAGTTTCTACCAAAGGTAAAAGACTGAAATATACAATTACTAAGAATAGGAAAATGGAATAGTACTAGAAATAAGTATTTTCTTATTGATTGTTTATCGATTGAGTTGAGTTAAGAAACAGAAATTCATAGTAAAATTAAGGTGATACTCAAGAGGTAATAGGAAAATCTTTTCCTCCTCGAATCACAATAGTTTTTATAATATAATGATGATGTTGGAAGGGAAAAATAAACATGTATTAACATCCAGGAATCTTTTCATTAAAATCGAAAGGGATGGAAAAAATGATGGAGATGATCATTAAGTCATCGTTGTATAATAGATTCTGAATTGGTAACAATGAATACAAAAGAATAGGAAAAAATAGAGATAAACTTAATATTCGCAAACTATATTCTTGTATTGTTACTTAATTTGTTTCTACTTCTTATCGATGTTTTAATTCATCTTTGTCATGGAATAATACAGATTATGATTGCGATAATGATTCTAGAATCAGATGGATATTAATACTTGCATCCAACATTCCCAATGGTAGAAAGTCATTCAATCGATAGTTAGTATGAGTATTATTGATAATTGATTTACCAGAACGCATGTGTCAACCCCTGTCCAGCCTCAAGACAGAGTGTATCGCTATAACTGACATTATATCATCGACACATTTGATAAGCAAAATGCTCATTGTGATTGCTGAAACACATTGATGATTATTAATGGTGATGATGGTTATAGCCTGGGGGCTTTAACTGTTAATCGTGCTCATCATATTCAAGAGCGTAGAGATTTGTAAATGAGTAAAATGTTATTCTTTATGTTGTCATGATGTTCATTAATGATGATTAATTACTTATGATTCTTGATTGTTTTCCGTAATTGTTCAACATTTTTCATTGTGAAAAGAAGAGGATCTCGAAAAAAACTTTGTTCTTCGATTTGATTTTCGTATCAATAGTAAAAAATTTTATTTGATCAATTTACGATCGTTTGTTTCACAATTAAATTGTAAAATTGTCCGATTTGAACTTTGCAGCCCTGGGGATATAATAAGATGCAAATGAAAAGAAATGAGGTTAAATGAGATGTGAAAAAATGAGTCGATTTTATGTAGAAAAAAAGAGTTCTAATCAGTTTGATTAAATACGAATATTATTAGTTGATGAGCGATGATGAGATCATTTGTATGAGTTTTTCCAAACTTCAGCGAATGTAATGGCAGAATGGAATCGATAGAAAATCGATAATGGTAAAGTGATACGAACGATCAATGCCCAAGTTGAGAAGCCATAGATTCGTAGTTGAACGGGAGAAGCTTCAACCTTTTGCATTTCGAAAGTGTAAATGACCCATAAAGTGAGATTAGCGATTAGCAAGAAAGTGATCAATTGTCTTCCGGGCTGTTTAAGACTCGTTCGCTTGCGGCAAACAACATCTGAAATGAATAGCGATTGGAGTGTTACCTGTAAATAGATGAAAGTTTAAATAAGTATTAATAATTTAATCGCAATCAGATCATTCGCAATATTTTTGCAGTTTATTGATTTTCAAAGACAAATGATTTCCATTTGTTTCTGTTGAGTGATTTCGCCTCAACATTAGCTGATAGCGTGATTCTTGTGTCGAAAACTCAAGATATTAATAAATAGATGCAACTTTCTCTTACTTGGATAATGGTCAATGTTGATGTAATCAGAACAGCAAAATGTTGCATAGACGATAAATCCATCGCTCCAGCGATTACTCCAAACAACGAGTAAACATACAAGCCAAAGGCGGCGATACGAAGGAGTAGGTCACGTAAGCCTCCGTCAGCAGTTTCATGAACTCCTGAAAATGAAAAAGGTAAACAAAGAATGACATGATATTATCGAGTAATATTCTCATAAAGATTTCAGAGAGAAAATTTCAGACCAAAGAAAAGTGTCTTTGTTGAGGGTTAGTCTTTTTCGTGACTCGAATACATTGAAATTGTTTAAAATAAGATTCAATTGGATGATAAGTCTAATGCTTTTTAAATCTACCTCAACTATTAAAGATAACAAAAAAATCGAAATGATAATAGAACAACTTTATTTATTGGTCAACAATTTACTTCAAATAATGGTCATCATTATGACGAAAGAAATAAATATTAGAGAGAAAAAGATATCGTGTTAAAATGCGTTTATGAACAACTTAGTTCGAGGTGACAAAAAGTTCTGAATGAAAGCAAACGATTCAGTGAGAGAATTTGATTCTTTTTTTATACAATTCAATCATTATCTATATATGAATCTCCAATATACACTCTAAACGTATGATCGATTTCATCTATTAAAGTTCATGTGCTGATACGAGAAAAAATTGACATGTTAATAGTTTTTGATGGAACTTTTTTTTCCATCGGGATGACAAGTCGACGAAATTGAAAATCTCGATAAAATAAGTTAAACAGTGAGAAGACATTAAATGTTTATCATGTAACAAAAAGAAACTTAACTTGAGAACTTTTTTCTATTATGAGTTTATAGTTTGAAATGGAAATTCTGATGTTACTTTGAAATGGGTGTGAAGAGACCATGAAACAGGCTAGTAAATAAGAAGTTTTCTCATTCTAAACAATCAACTTCAACTTTTATTTCTTCCTGGTTACCAAAGGGACCAAAGGTCTCCCCTTAATTTAGGTTAACCCCGAGCTCTTCTTAGCATCCAAGTTTATTAAGGTTTAAGAGGGAAACAAAAGTGAGGCCAGTTAAGCCAATGGTTAATAAGTAATAGCTCTTTAGCCAGTAATAGCCAGAGTAATAGCTCTTTAGGTCATCTTCTCGAATGATCATTTACTTTACTCGGTCTGAATTTCCTCTCTCTCTCTCTCTCTCTATCAACAAAATCCCTCCAATGGTTATCCACAATGTTTACTTGGTGTTACTTTCTGGTTATTAGAGGAGCACAGAAAAGCTCAGAAAGTTCAGTTCCATTGAGTGTAACTCTACAGTTAAAATCTCATGTTGATACAATTAATTGAAGTGAATCAAAGTATTATTACTTGCAATAATTTGGAAAAAACAAAAGGTTTCATTCAGTGTGATCTAAATTGCTCATTCATTTAGAAATTGATTACAACAATTGATTACTATTTGCTTAAAAATTAATCTCTAAAACCAGAAGATATCAGAATACTAACTGTTTGTAACAATTGTTATCAGCTAAACAATCAGTTCATTAATTATTCACTCGGTGAATTTCATGGTAACAGCTAATTTATTTTCTTGTCTTTCTAATCTTCACTAATCGTACTGAGTGAAATTTCAATCATTCATTGAGAGAAAACTTCTTATCATCATGATTTGCTTACCTGGTTGGAATCGAAGTTTTCGAATCTTAAAATAGGCCAAAATGATCGCCAGTGAGCTGAGTATCAATAGAGTCGAGTGAGAAATGTCACTAATCAATGTCGCCAAGAGATTGTAAGTTGGATGATGAACAAGGACAAAGAAAATAATCAATGAGGTTATCGAAACAACCAAGAATAAGAATCCACAGAATAAACCTGAATATCCAAGAAAAATAAATTCCGTAAATTTCCATGAGTCAATGAGTATGTTAATTGTGAGGAATAAATTAAATTCCTATGAAAGAAGTTAAATCAACAATCAACAACTTGGAAACTAAATGTTACCTTTACTTGATCCTAGGCAAGAATAAAGTGAATGGGAAACTAAAGCAGATGATTCTCGACTTGAGGTTGATAAACTATCGATATTAACTCCAGTTCCAGGTGATGAAGGAAGAGATGGACAATGGTCAGATAAAGTTTTCGAGTTACGTCCAATGTTTGACCACATTACGTACAAAAAGGCAGCTCCAATCAATGAATACTCAACAATGAATGGATACAAATAGGGTGAAGTATCAGCCAGAATACTTCCCATAATCTGCTCTTTCTGACATGGATTCGAAGTGTTCATTTCATTGAAATGCATGGTAGCATTGGTACGATTGAAAGGTCTCAGTTCGGTTCGTAAAGGTAAGATTAACTCTTCCAGAAATGAATGAGATGTGGTAGCTTTCAATTCCTAATAATTGTCAATGAAGAAGAAGAAAAAGATTAATCAATCAAAATGGTTGATCAATAAGCCAATCAAAGATCAATTTATTACCTGAAGTGTTTCCTTTCCCAAAGTTCTGATCCAAACGCAGATATTGGTACCAACAAGATGCATTAATCCAATTCGAGCGATTAATTTAAATTTATTAATCATGAGCCGAGAATAGGTGAAAATGAAATACATTTGGGCAAATGTAAATGTTGCTTGAAGAACCGGATTAACTCCTAGAGATATTAAATAAAACAATTAATCAGTTTGATCATTTTAACAAAATGTTGATAATCATGAATATGTAATTTGAATTAAGGTTTATCATCATGTTCAATTAGATTATATAATTGTTACATCTTGCTGGCTAATTAATTATAATCCCAATGAGATATAGAGAGTATATGGTCTATGTTATTTAAAGTAAACATTTCAATTTTCCTCTTGTCGATTTGATAAAATATTGAAATATTTTCGGACTCAAAGTTGCTCATGCTATTGAACTATTTTTGAATTTCAAAGTTTTATCAACATAGTAATGACATGATAATGTAATTAATACGAGTCTGTTGATGAATAAGCTGATGGTTAACCATGATTAAATTTAATTATCATTCAGGTAACAATAAAATGCAATGTTGTTTGGTAAAAGGAGAAAAAAGTTTCTCATAAAAACATTTTCCAGTCAAAATGCTCATAAATCAAATGAATTATTCATATCCCACTCAACCTAATCTTTCATCCTTTCGTCTTCCCACCTAACTCTCTCTCTCTCTCGTCTTCCCCTGTCATCCTCTCTCATATTTCTCAGTCTATTTAGTTGTTTCCATCAGAATTGAGATTCTTGTTGAAATATTGTGTAAGATTATGTTTGCTGAATCGCATTTTTTGGCTCCCCTGATAAAGATGATGAACAGAAGATGAATCTTGTCATCATCTTAATCAGAATCATTCCCTTTCCATCATTCGTATTTTATATCCCATATATTACATTGTGAAAATTTTTCATGGTACAAAAATCAATTGTCCGGTATTGGTTAAGTTTTTCACCTTCAACATGAATATTTCATGAAGGGCGAGGTTTCAAACATCAGCATCCTCATCAAAATGGTATTCCCTTGAGGAATCATGATAAGAAACAATGTTTTTCCCATTCAGAATAAATCTAAATATCTCTCCAATCATAACAATTACAATTGTCAACCATTATATTTACTTGGGATTTTGATTGTTACCACTAATAACAATTAGTAGATTACATGATTGGATCATCTTTGGAATACAATTAGATTAATTTCACTTTGATTTCCAATAATGATTATTGATAATCTTAAATGTTATATTATGTTATGTTAATCACAATAGTCATTGGGTTAATCAAATTAGTCTGTAAAGTCAAAGATTAAACGATTGGAAGAAGATGAATTAATATAAATCATTGAATAATTTAAGGACAAATTCAAGATGAAATTATGTCTTAAGCTGTAGTTTATTGCTCAATCTCTCAGGGGAAATAATCGTTTCATGTTCAAGTGTGAAGATAAAGAATAAGGAAGAGTAAGGAATGATTCTGACGAATTTACAGTCAGATAAAAACAGAATAGGTAAAGGTAATGAAAAAAGAAATCTAGAGAATAAGAATAAAATATTTCTTTTTTTCTTTTTGACAGAAAACATGTTAACCTTTTTTCTCCAATGGTAAATGTTCATAGATGAAGTTTGTTCTTACAAACTTTACACAGGAAAGTTTTGAGAAAAACATGATAGAGAGAGAGAGAGAGAGAGAGAGAGAGAGAGAGAGAGAGAGAGAGAGAGAGAGACAAAAAGACAAGATTCCCACAGGGAAATGTAACTTCATTTTTCAGCGAAAAGTCAAAATACATGAAAAGTCACGAAGAAAAATTCAACTTGTTCAACATGGACTGAGTAAAATGAGAAGGGTAAAGGAGGAAGGAAAGTCCATCAACATGGTAATGATAATGTCCACCCATGATTTGATTATAATGAGCTTGACCCTCTCTTTCTCTCTCTCTCTCTGTTTTCCTCATCCTTTTATAATTTCACTCATAAATGTTACTCAAGGGAATCAGGAAACTGTAGCGTTACTAAATGATCATGATGAACAAAAAAAGGTTATCATTGGCAATTTAATGGATCAATGTTCATTTCAACTCAATCTTAGGGTCAAAGTTGAAAAAAATATTTGTAAAATAAGTGATGTAAATTTAAAATGCAAAAGTTGTAAGAATCATCGTTATCATTGTTCATGCAAATGCTTCAAGGCTCCAACATGAACAATTTAAAAATTTCACTCATGATATTGTAATTTTTTCACCATAGACTTTACAAATAATAATCTCAGGAGATTGACTAAAATCTGAGTGAATAGTTTTCACATTTCAATAAAACCCAATGAAAGTTTTACATTATTTAAAATTATTCCCTAGTATTTTCAACTCATTTCAACGGAATACAAATTTACAGATCAAATTGTTCATTCAAATATAAACCATTGATTGCTGATAAATCACAGTCGCTTTTGTCTATGATAAAATAACCTTAGGTTATTGTTTTGTGTATTATTATTACGAGTATGTTTTTTATAAAGCAAAAAGCATTCAACTCAATTTTCTGTTACAATCACAGCCAAATACTTTCAACTGAATCCATAATAACCATGATAATAGATCGAATCTTTTGTTAGCTTTTCTCGTCATTCTCATCAAAAGCAATTTTTCATTTGATTTATGGTCTAAATTGACATCTTAATTGGCTACAATTAAAATTAACTTCATTAGACCAAAAGAGAAAAAAAGTTAAACTCCATTATGATCAGATCATCTCATTTGTAACTTTGATTCTCTTGAGGGTAAAAGTCGAAGTTCAAGAGAGAGAGAGAGAGAGAGAGAGAGAGATTCAAGCTAAGAATATTATGAATGCTGAGAATGATAATGATGAGCATCGTGAGGAGTTGGAGGATGAAGAAGATGAGGAAGATGAGGAGAGTGGGATAAGTAAATTGTGATTATCCTCGCGTGTTAAAAGTACACAGTTTGTTGGACACATGAAGTATTCTGACAAGTTTATTAACAATGTCACTAATCAAGAACATAATTAGGTTAAACTATTGATTAATTACTGAGCTAAATTATCCTCATCAACTTGTATTTGCTTGTAAATATATAAAACCATAGAATCAAATTGTATTAAGAAACATTTTCCTGTGAAACAATTAGAGTTTAGTTATCGATTCTGTGATTTCTTGAATTCCTAAATTGAACTAAAGTGATTTATGAAACAATGATCATTATTTTCATCATGTTTTATTTGTTTCTATTTCGATTCAACAAAGATAGATGAGAATACCTTTAGTAGTAGAAAGAAACGAATTCAATTCCAATTCTCAACTTGATTAACGTCAAGATCATGATTTTCCAAGAGAAAGTGAACATTTTTCAATACTGATGAGATTAATTTTCTTTTCGTGTTTGAGGTTCGAAAAACAAAAACAAAGATTGAGAAAATTGTTGAAATTTCTCCGATCAAATGGCTCGAAGTTCTGATGATGAAAGTTAAGGTTCATCTGATTCCATTGAGAATTGAAATGAGCTGAATAAAAGATAAAATATCAAGAAATTTTAACTTCCATTGAATGGAACAAGTTGATGAGGTGAATGTGTGTGTAGATCTTTGATCAAAGCGAAAAAAAGAAGAAAAAAATCAAGTTCGAAGATGAACTTTTTCTCAGCCAATGAATCCTTCAAATCCTTTTCTTTCCTTCACTCATTCAACATTCTTTCATCCCATAAACATGGAATCAACAATAAGATGAGTAAAACATGGTGATAATCATCAACTGAATCAAGAATATAAACAATTTTGTGAGAAAAAAGGCATCAGAAAATTTCACCGAAAATCACCATGAGAATTTTCATCGAATAAAAGATCAAACTGATCAGATAATAGTCTATTGTTATCGATAACTAGAAAAGCAATTGTATCCGAAAAAGAGAAATTCTAAAATGAGAAAATAGATCGATTATCAATATGAAGATCTTTACTTGCAATCGAATTGAAATAACCAAAAAACAACGAGAAAACCCAAACATGGAACCGATTTGAGAATTGTAAAGCTCTCATGGAACCAAATGAGTCAAATATTCAGGGTGAAAATTAGCATATGAAAAAAAGATGAAATAATTATGATGACTGGTAATAAATCTTATCCATTTGGGTGAACAATCTTAAAAAAGTAACAGTTAACTAACTGTTTCCTTTCAACTGATTAAAACTTAATTTCATGTTGTTTCATTGTAATAATGATGATGCAGCAAGATGAATATCATCATTATTCATACACAATGAGGATGAACAATAATTCCCAATGATTATGTAAATAACAATGAAAATGGAAGGGTTAAATTCTGGGTTATTGTATTCGCTTTAATAAACTTATTCAGAGAAAACATTGGAAACATTATCGTCTTTTACATCATCATGATAATCATCACCATCTTCATTCAGCTTTTCTCTTGTATCTTCATCATCATTTTCTCGAGCTTTTCCTTAATCATATTGCTTCACTTTATCATCTTTCAAGTTTTACTTTCAAACTCATTCAATCTCATCTTATTTATTGGATGTCACTGAGATGAGGATAAAAGATAAGATGAAGATGAAGATGAAGATGATCAAGACGATGAAAGATGAAAATGAACAATTTATATCTTCAGATCAAATTGGAGTTCATCTCAGATAGGATTAGACTTTTTTTCATGCTCAAGAATAAGATGTTTATATTTTTCTTTTCTCATTTTATCAATTCATAGTTCTAGTGAGTTTTTTGTCTCTCAGTCTCTTTCATGGTGAAGTCATGGTAGATTGAACTTTCTCATCATTTTATTTGGAATAAGAATCGAAGCAGAATTTCATCATCTTCATCTTTCTTTTTCCTTGACGTTACTGTTTATTGGATAAAAATATAATATTACGATTTCATATTAACGACCAACTAAATTTCTGACGTAAGTTTTTTGATCCAGAATCAAGTGAGATTGGAAGAGAGTGAGAGATTATCAGGATATCCTGTGTTCATATCAATTCTGAAGGAATTTATCTTTTTTTTCATCCTGATAATATATTGATTCCAAAAAGGAGATCGTTCAATTTTCATCAACCAAAATGATTCAATCATTTATATCATTGCTTTTGGTCTTGGTATTGTTTTCTAATCCAA